GCTGTGCCCAGCAGTTCCCAGCAGTTCCCAGCTGTGCCCAGCAGTTCCCAGCAGTTCCCAGCAGTGCCCAGCTGTTCCCAGCTGTGCCCAGCAGTTCCCAGCTGTGCCCAGCAGTGCCCAGCCGTGCCCAGCAGTTCCCAGCAGTGCCCAGCAGTTCCCATCAGTGCCCAGCAGTTCCCAGCAGTTCCCAGTGGTTCCCAGCAGTGCCCAGCAGTTCCCAGCAGTTCCCAGTGGTGCCCAGCAGTGCCCAGCAGTTCCCAGCTGTGCCCAGCAGTGCCCAGCCGTGCCCAGCAGTTCCCAGCAGTGCCCAGCAGTTCCCATCAGTGCCCAGCAGTTCCCAGCAGTTCCCAGCAGTTCCCAGCAGTGCCCAGCAGTTCCCAGCAGTTCCCAGCAGTGCCCAGCAGTTCCCAGCTGTGCCCAGCTGTGCCCAGCAGTTCCCAGCAGTTCCCAGCAGTTCCCAGCAGAGCCCAGCAGTGCCCAGCTGTGTCCAGCTGTGCCCAGCAGTTCCCAGCAGTGCCCAGCAGTGCCCAGCAGTTCCCAGCAGTGCCCAGCAGTTCCCAGCTGTGCCCAGCTGTGCCCAGCAGTTCCCAGCAGTTCCCAGCAGTTCCCAGCAGAGCCCAGCAGTGCCCAGCTGTGTCCAGCTGTGCCCAGCAGTTCCCAGCAGTGCCCAGCAGTGCCCAGCAGTGCCCAGCAGTTCCCAGCAGTGCCCAGCAGTGCCCAGCAGTGCCCAGCTGTGCCCAGCTGTGCCCAGCTGTGCTGGGCTGGCTCCTGAGCAGGCTGCAGAGAGCTGCTGAGCCTGAGCAGTGCTGGGCACACAGTGCGAGCTGCTGGGCACTGCAGAAGTCACAGCTGTCTTTCCAGAGCACTCTGCTGTCCCCTCCTCCATTCTCTCCTCCCAATGTGCAATGTCTGCAAGGTAATTGGGTTCCATTATTTGATATATAAAGTGGGAGTGGGAGGGAGGGTCAGGGAGGACGAATTAAAATGAATTGAGAATCTTTATGTGAAGGGAAAAGAGGACTGGAGGGAGCCATGATAACTCTTTACAAATACTTAGAGGGACATTATGAAGAGGACAGAGACCAATTACTCTCATTAGTCAGTGCAGCAGAACGAGAAGCAATGCTGTGTGCTGCTGGAGGGGAACCTGGGCTGCCATGCAAAAGTTGTAAGGGTAACACCTCAGAAGGAGCCATCAGGGGAAGGTTTGTCCTGGCTTCACTGAAGAGCCTGGTCTGGAGTTCAGACAACTGACATGCAGACTTCCAGGTAATTCACCAGGACATCAGGGATGAGTTTCTGCTGGTTTCATTTCCACCTGGCATATATTCCTATTCAATCGTGGACATATTTCCTGCTTCCTATCAACCCTCAGTATTTGAGGTGACACCTTAGGAACCCACCTACAGTTTGTTGCTCCTTTTGATCACACACTTCTCATGGAAATGGGAGGGAAAAGGAGCAAAACTGGGAGGAAGTGGAGTGGGAATCAGGGAAGTGTATCAGCATTTGCTGAGCTGGGCACAAGAATCACTCAGGAAATTAAAAGCAGAATGATATTTTGAGGTGATAAAACATTAAAGTATGAAACTTGCATTTGACTCAGATCCAGACTCAATTTTTCCTTTTTAAGCCGCAGTTTGGGAAAAGTTGAACACTTGCCAGTGACAAGTGCAGGCTCTGGACTCTTGCAAAAGGGAGAAGGAATTAAAATTATGTTAGTTGGTGATGAAAAGACTTGAGAAATGCAGAAAGAGGACAAAGGAAAAAGGTAACCATGGAGGTGAAACAGAAAGGTACAAGAGTTTCCTTACACAATGCATTAATTAAGGCAATGCAGTGACTTTCAGGGACTCTAAGCTCACCCAAAGCCTGACCAAAGAGGTCAGGCAAGGTCCATGCCCTGGGGGCCTCTGACACAATGCTGGGTGGTGGTGGGGGTGTATTCCAGTGCCCTGCTCTTAGATGAAGCCTCAGCTTTCCATCAGTAAATCATAAGCCTTTTGTTCTGTTGGGTTTTTGTTTGGCTGTTGTTATTTTCTTATGGCCTTTTCCTGTGTTTGGAAATACACCCAAAGAGGGTGTAAAGCCTGCTGCAAAGGCAGCATTTATTTGATAAATCAAATACCCTAAATGCAATGTAACAAAACTTGGGTGGTTGGTTGGTGCTGATTTTCCTGTTCTCTGTGTGTGAACGAGGCTCAGTGCAAGAAACAGTGCAAGCCCCCCTGCACAAACTGGGACTGGCACCCAGCGCTCCCCCCTGCCCAAGCCCAAGCTCTGTGGTCCCTCTCCTGCAGAGGCTGATCCCTCCCTGCTGGGGCATCATCCCTGCCCTGTTTGTTTTCATCCATTCAGCCCCTTGAGCAGAATGATCCCCTGAGCAGATTCAATCACCGATTTTCCCTCATTCCCCTTCACAGCTGCTGTTGGAGGTACAGCTGTCACTGCATCCATTCAGGGGAAATAGATGATCAAAGGGGGAAAGACAGGAAAACACCACTTAAGAAATAAACGCAAAGTTATGATGCCTCTGTTTGCCTGAGAAAGAGAGATTTTTATGCAGCTTTTGGCATTTACAAATCCTTTGTGAAAAGGTCACCCTGTAGCTGGAATCTTATTAATACAGAAGAACGGCCCAGAAAATGTCATGTCTTTTTACCCTGGTATTTACCCAGAAAGGAGTGACTCAGCAGCCAGGGCTCCCCTGGCAGAGGGCACAAACAGCTCGGGGTGTGCGGGTGTGACAGTGGGGACAGTGCCAGCACTGCCAGTGACCCTGGCAGCACAGGGCCTGTGTGGGCACACCCTGCACCCCCTGACTGCAGGGGACAGCCCATTCGCTGTGCAGCGTGCATACACATAGCCAAAAAAATAAAATAAATAAATAAAAGGGTGTAACTGTTCCAGAAACACACACGCACTTTATACGGGTATGGGCACAGTCACACCCAGCAGGACATGGGCATGGAGCTTTGGCAAATAAAGCCCAGAGCTCTCAGGGCTCAGGCTGTGAGGGCAGTGTGAGGTGCTGCAAGGGGAAGGCAGAGCGCACAGTCAAAAAGATGCAAAATGCTTTTCCTCTGGGAAATCACAAAGAAAAAGTTTGCCTGTCATCTGCAGTTGATATTTCCATCTTTAATCTACTGCTCCTAGTTATGTTTGTGCTCGCTTCCTCCAGGGGGATTTTCCTTCCGTTTGCCTTAGTGGTGACTCATTTTACCTTTGATATGTTTTGGCAGAACGGAGGTATTTATTTTGGCAGAGCAGTGGAAACAGCTCTGAGCGTGGTCGCGACGGCCGCGGCTCCTGCCCTGTCAGCGCGGGCTGGCGCCTGGCTCGGGCTGACCCAGCACAACCAGCCACCACCACCCTCACACTGCACACCAGTTCTTCATTTTCAATAACTTGCACAGTGAAACGTTTTGCCAGTTCTGACACGTCGCAGACTCGTGCTGAACGGAGCTGTTTTGTTCTTCATTTTCTAACCCGTTACAATATTTTCATTTTACTTTTCTCTTTATTGGACCTGCAAGAGCTCAAGGTGGTGTTTGTAACAGAGAACAACTGTGACACACCATCTCTGACTGGGGAAGTTCTCAATATCACTGCTTCTTTCATTTTAATTTCCCGTGGGATTTAAGGCTCCCGCTGCCCTGTCCTGTGACCCAAACACTGCTCTCCTCTCAGGACACAGATCTAGCATGAACGCTGATGAAAGGATGCACGTTCTCTCTTGGTTATTCATGCACCACTGCTCACTCACAAGCTGCCTGAATTCTGCAGAGTCGTGGGCAGAAGGTCTCTGGTGCTCACCTCCACAGCCAGCATCAAGCCAGTGAAAGGCTCTACAGGAATGTAATTGCATTCCAAGATGAAATACCCCCAGTCTGGGTTTTCAGAACCACACCCAATTCCTTAACAGCATTTCCCTTCCACTGCAGCTGTACAGCCTGAGCAGCACATTCCTCCTCCTTTCCCCTTCTCCCCTCTTCCCCCAGCCCAGCTCAGGTGTGTCTCACCGTCACCTCCTGCTCCTCGGGCTCTGCTGCTCGCTGGGAACTGCTGCCACTGCCACTGCTGCTGCACTCACGATTGGACCTGAAAAAAGAAAATTGACAGACAGCAAGCAAACCAATGGCTTCTGAACCCAGCTGCAGAGCCCCAGGTGAAGGTCACCCACACCTCTGTGTGGGAGCTGTTAGTGCTCATGTTTGTGAAGCCTTTTGTGAGCACTGTAAGGATGAACAGGGATGGCTCATGTTCCTGTGCCTGTGTACACACACACAGACCCCCCTGTGCTGGAACACAGTGCCAAAGAAATTATGTTTCATATAATTTCTAGTGTCATCTTTGATTAATTTGCATTTATTTTCTCATTATGGCTCATCACTCATTTCAAAGGTGTCCTTCAAACCAGAACATGGGAAGAGGACCAAGTGACAGACAGCAAGGAATAATCTTAAGGCAGAGCCCAGGAAAGCCATTCCCACTGCCACATCTCTGGTTTAGCACTCCCACCCCACATCCCACATTGCTGCTTCCCACCGACAGTTTCCTCTTTGGAGAATTCGTTTTCCCAGAACTGATTCATTGTCCCAATGGCCACAGCTTCCCCTGTCACCCTTATCAGTCAAGGAACAAAGGAATGCCTCAATCAGAATGATTAGCCGTGGGTCATTTGACAGCTACACAGAGTCACAACATGCAGAAATACAAACAGCCATTCATCCAAACAGCACGCCCTGCCCAGTGTGAGGTGTCTGGGCTGCTCTCTGTTGAAGAAGTGAGTCCCTTATTGCCACAGCTCAGCCGTCAGAGCCACGACCTGGCTGCAGGACACGTCCCCTCTGCTGCGACCCCTTGCCCTCCCCCTGCCCAGGGACACCCAGGACACTGAGGCCATTGTGAGTAAATCACAGCTCCCCTGGCTACAATCACTGCTAAAAGAGCTAGAGAACATCACAAACAGAACTCCTCTGGGGAGATATTTCATCTCGAGCTCTGATGGCGAGGTCAGCACTGCTCAGACACATCCCTCAGCTACAGGTCAGCCCTTCCTGCACATCTATTTTGAGATCTCCATACCCCGTTTGCTAACCCTTGAAACAGCCACAAGGCCCTCTGGACTCTTATCTCTCCCTAAAATCCTCCCCAAACCTGTCGTCTCTGGAGGCACAAGGGGGTGCTCAGAAAACGTGTGCTCACCTTTCTGCTCACGTGTGAACTGTTCAGCACAGACACGGTTTGTTCTTTGCCCAACACAGAATTAAACCTTGTGCAACTCTCTGAGTGATATGTTTTGTCCCACGAGAGATTTGCTTCAGAAATACAAAGACAGAAAAATACTCAGCTGTCATTATCATAGCAGCTTTTAATCAGCTGGGAAATGCTGCTTCTTCCCCCAAAAGAGCAGGCTGGATAGAAACAATGTTCTACCTCTGCCTCCCCCAACACCACTTCCTTTTCCCACAGAAATTTTCCATTTTAATTAGATTCCTTTATTACCACCCTCTTTTCCAGCACATCTTTTCTTGCTGTTCAACTTTTTTCCTCTCTACATATCTATTTTTCATTTTCTTCAACTGCCAAGAGCTACAGCATGTGTCTGTGTGCATGTGCTGGGGGAAGGAGAAGAAAGAGATAAGAAAGGAATAAAAAGAGAGAAAAGATGGGAAAAATTAATCTGATAATTGTTGGAAAGAATTGCTGCCAGCAGCAAAAGTACTGACAAGGCACTTTCATGAAACCAGAAAGTTTTCCTGTTTTGGCAGGTTGGAGGTGACACCCCCAGGCCCTTCCCCACCCTGGCTGCACCCCAAAAGTGTAAGGGGCAGTGAAGCCCTGGCTGCCTGTTACAGCCTCTGCTCTGCCTTGGGCACTTTACACAGAGACAGACCAAGCAGAAACAAGCAATCTCTGGTCTCTAAGCATTCCCAGCTCACTGGCAGCCCTGGCCCACGATGCTGAGGAGGGGATGCCCCTGAGCAGCGTGGGGCTCTGCCCCTGAGCTGGGCTGTGGCAAGTGCTCCTTTGTGCTCCTTGGTGCACGCTAAAGCTCACACTCCCTCTCCGACTCCAATGAAAAATTTATGACTGTTAAACTTCTGTATGTCATAATTAAACACAAACAATAATTTCCAAATAACTGTTTACCATGCTGCATATTCAATTGTGCAATCAATCTCAGCGACTCTTTTTCCTTGCAAATGAAGGGAGGCGGGCTGCACCCGCCACACGCGCTCGCACCCAGCCCGGCGAAGATGAAGAGCCAGTCTGACATTCCAGGGACAGCAGTTACCTGTGGAATAAATAGATTGAAGCCCTGTCATTCCCAAATAGATGCCACCTCCTCCTGCTATTTGTTTGGAGGGAGCCTCCCGGCGAGATGGATGGGACAACTGCTGTTCGAGCATTAATCTCAATGCAGGGAGAGGGAAGCAGCTGCTTGCAGAGCTCTGCCAAGGGACCCGAGACCTGCAGGGAATGCGTGTGAGGTGGTGCCAGCCCTGCCCCCAGAGACTGCCCCACAGGCAGGACCTGCTCCGGGAGGAGACAGGGACCAAGCGACCAGCAGAGACCCCCGTGCCTGTGACGAGCTCCAGCCACAAGCAGGCACGGGGATGTGCAGGGAAAGCTCCACTGAAAACTGGCAGAGGAGAAAGAGCTTGGCATGAGGATAAGGTCCTGCCAGCAGCCCCGTCCCTGCCAAGGGCACTCCTGTCCTTGCCAGCTCAGGTGGCTTTGCTGGCAGTGCCAGGGTGGCCAGTGAGGAGCCAGGGCTGCTGTGGAGCTGAGCAGGGGGCTCATGCTGAGTCAGTGGCACTGTCAGCCCAAACTGCTGGGGCTCAGAGCAGCCTGTTTCCTTCCTGGCATGAAACCTGCACTGCTAACCTGCCAGTGGCTGGTCACAGGGAGCTGCACTTGTCCTGGGAACAAGGTGAATAAAGACATGATGGAGTTCAGTGATGCAATACAAGTAACAGTGTCCTTTTACATTACTAACAGCACACAGTACGCTGTCTGGATGCCTGCTCTCCTGAGGACACCCCTAGGAAGCTCTCTGTAAATAGGATGTCTCAGTCAATGTGCTCTCCCAAAGGCTGCATTGATCTCCCTCTGTGAACGCAGTCTCGGGGGGCAAGGGCTGTGCTGGGTGGGGGGAGGACATGGCTCCTCATCTGAGCTCTCTGGGACTGTCCCAAGCCCACATCCCTCCGTGGCTGAGGCCCAGGGCAGCACTGTGCAGCTGCAGCTGTGGCAGGACCACCCTGCAGGAGAGCCCAGGGGCTGAGACAGAGGGGCTTGCAGAGGGGCCGTGCAGGGCAGGGGGATGGAGGAACCTCTCTGGCAGCCCCTGAGCTCTGCTGCCTCTGCGAGCAGGTGTCAAGGACTCTGGAGTGTACTTGTTAGCTCAAGAGCCTCATAAGCAGTTCTGAAGGATTTCTTCTCTGGATTGTGGGTTTGCACTGTCCCAGGTCGGTTCTAGACTGGGAGCTGTTTTCACCCAGAGACTTTGTGAAGCTATTGTCCCAGCCTGGGTCCCTAAAGGTGGTTTCTGTCACTGCAGTCCCTGCTCACCAGACAAGGACAGGGCTGGCAGCCCAGGCACCCTGCCCTGTCCCCGTGCCAGCAGGGCCAGGTGTGCCCCACGCAGCAGCTCCCAGGGACATCCTGTGTGCTCAGCCCTTGCCATGGCCAGGAGATTTCAGCTCTCTGGCTGTCAGCTTGCTGGCTTCCATAAGGACTGACTCCCTAATTAAATTAAATTCTTGAGCGGTATTTAATGTTGCACATGCAACATTAATTTTTGTGCTAGCATGATCAGGGCCATATTCATACTTGTTAATTCTCAGGGTGTTAACGCAAACCCTGTTGTAAACACATTTTCACAGGTCAAAAGCAAAGCATAAAAATCAACAAAAATATTTTCATCATTATGTTTTCCAGTTCTACAGTGAATGTGATGAGAGAAAGAATGTCTTGAGAGCAGGAGAGGCTGCTGGAGGGCCCTGCTGCTCTGAGACTTGTCATCCCACAGGGGAGCTGCTCTCACAGCCACATCCAGCAGCAAACCCTGCCTGGGAGTCTAACTAATCCCAGAACATTTCGTCTTCCCTTCTGGCTGAGCCCCATGTCCTGCCTGGGCAGGAGGTTACACATGGGGTGAAAAGTTTACCCCAGGGCAAAAAAAGGGAAGAAAAAGCTCTGAAAGGCACAGAACCCTCACTTTGGATTGCACAGATTCAAACGCTCCCACTTGGACCTCAAAACTGTCAAACAAATGCAACTTATTCTCTCTTTCCCTGTCTTCAGTCCCTAACAGAGCTGTTTCCACTGCTGGAGAAAGTTTCTTCCTTGGAGAAGTGTTAGCATCCTTAGTAGCAGAACCAAATCGGGGAAGGGAGCAGGCAGCAGAGCACACAGATCCCATTTTGTGCCAGCCTCACAGAGAGGGCTGCAGCCTGCTGTCCCAGTCTGTGGGCAGAGCCCCAGCAGCCCGAGATGGAAAGCCGGTGATGGGCTGGGGCTGCTCCTGGGCTGAACTAGCCCCAGCTGGGCCAGGGTGCTGCAACTCAGCAGGCACTGCATCCCTGCCAAACCCGCAGCAAAGCTCCCTGCAGGGCTCACCTGGCCCACAAACAAAGCACAGAGCCCTGGTGTGACCCAGCCGAGAGCAAAGCGCTGCTGGAAAGGTTCTCTGTGCCCTGCTCCTCCCCACGCTGCTGCAAACCCCTCTTACCCACCAAACCCACTTCCAGCACCTGTAACACCTCACGGGCAGGCTGCCCCACCACCACAGCAGGCACCTGCCCTGGCAGGGTGGGACACACTCCAGTCACCCCGAGCAGCCCTCTCAGCTGCAGAGGAGCACCATCAGCAACTGAGGCAAGAAAATTTACCTTGTAAGTGCTAACAAGCCCCATATTTCCTTGCTAGCACACAAACAAGGGAATTTTGCTCTCTTGCTGCATTAATGCCACTCGTGAAAACTAACTTGGGAGGCTGGATGTTTTTTCCAGGGTAAGGAGATGTTCCAATTACCACTAAATTGCCAGCACTTGGAACAACGCTGCATATTAATTCAAAGCAAGTGAATGTTCACTGAATTACCCAGAAGAGTAAACAGCTTTTTGTGGGCTGTGTAAATAATCCCAGGGTAACGAAGAAACGGGGAAAAGAGATTTTAAAAACTAATTTGCCTGGGCAGAGAAAAAAAATTCAAAGGAAGTGAATAAAAGAAAGGGTTGTCAGTGAAATGGTTACTGTGGCTGCTACAAGCTGGGTCATGCATTTGTGAGTGGAGGAGCAGCCCAGGCTGCCCAGCACTCCCAGGGACCCTCCTGGGACAGGAGCACAGGAGCAGCCCCATCCCTGCCCACAGCCCCTGGGACAAACAGGGACCAAGTGCTGTGGGGAGGAGGGGGCTCAGGGGGGCTGTTGTGCCCACCTGAACCAACCCTGATGCCCCTGCAGCTCAGTGTCCACTACAGCCACCACTAAGGAACACAGCTTTAATGAACACACCTGCCTTCAGGGGGCTTTCCACCATTTTCTTTTTTTCCAACTCAGCTCCCTCATCACTGAGCTAATGCACTAATGGACACTCACCATTACCTAACTTCCGACCTAATGGGCACAGCAAATAAGTGAAAGGCTCATAAAATCAAATTTACTGAGCATCATTCCTTTTGCTGTCCATTAACTGAAACTATTTATCAGGTTAAGCAGATCCAGGGTATGGAGCTATATCCATCTTGCATTAATGCTGCCACATGGACGTTTCAGGGTCCCAGGCTCTGCAGCAATCGCAGGGAAGTGCTGTGAGGCCAGGCTCTGCCCCTGGCAGGGATTCCAGCAGGCTGAGGGGTGCAGCAGCCCTGTGGGATGGGTGGGTTTCTTTTTCTTCAGGCACGAAGGAGCTCCAGTCAACTGGCTGCTGCAGCATTCCCAGACCAGGAAAGTGCTGTTAACCTTGATGACAGTGTCTGGTTTATAAATACCAAAACTGGAGACAGATTAGATGAACTTTAAAAACTTTTGAGTATATATATTTTTAAAGGGTTTTCCCTTGCTAAGTTACTTTTCTCCTTTCTAAACTCCCAAGGCCCCAGTAAAGCCAGTCAATAATCCATTACAATCATTTGGGGACCAGTAAAGCTCTGAAAAATAGCATATGCACTGTGGATTTAAAGAAACCATCTGAACCACAGTAAGCCTTGAAGATAACTTTGAAATGCATTTTTATTTCTCAATAATTTCTTGAGAACCATTAAAAGAAATGAAAACTCTGCACCCTGGACAGACACAGGATGGTAAAGCACTGGGAAAAAAATATCCTCAGTACTTGGAAAGGATCTCAGGAGTGTCCCCAAGCAGTGCTCTGCCAGCTGCAGCTCTCCTGTTCCCATGTCTGCCACCCCAGAGCCTCACCTGCACCTCTGGCTGCTGCTGGCACACTGGGGCTGCTGCCCCCCAAAGCACAAGCACCTGCTCCTGGTGCTGGGCTCCTGCCTCAAATGGTGCTTGGTCCCCAGAAACCCAGTCCTTCCCCTCTCCTTTCTCCTGCTAACCACCCATCTGACTATTTTCTAAAACAAAACAGCAGCTTCACTGCACCCCAGTGATGACATTTCAGGCTGTGCACACAGCTCACGATGAATCAAACAGCCTCTCATGTCCCCTGACCTACTTCTCAGATCCTTCATTGTATCTGTTTAAGATAAAACCCTTGCCAGGATTAAAGCATTCATGGCATATGTCCAAAGGTCAGAAAGGGCCATGCTGCAACCACAAACCAAAAAAACTGCTCCTGGCAGTTTCAGTGTTGTATTTTACCTTCAGGACAGAAAAAACTTATTTAAACTGTGAGAATTTCACTATTTGCGTTTAATTTTTTTTTTTTTTTTTTTTTTTTTTTTTTGTCAGAGATGGGCAACTCTAAGTCCTTGAGTTCTACTTAAAATCTTGCCACCTTCTTGCATGCTGAATTTCTGCTCTTGCAGGAATAGGGCTTTCAGTCTGAACCCCCTGTGCTGTCAGTGAAAGATTACATGAGATATGTGATGTGGCACAAATCTTTCTGGTTTTTCAGAGGAAGTTCCATTATTTCAATTTCCTCACGTTCTGGAGAGGAAAAAGAGCTCCCATACAAGGAATCCTCTGCAAGGGAAAATTTTGGTTACTTCAAAGGCTCTGTTTGAACAAAATATAATTTCACTTGAGCCTGACTTGTGGAAAGTGTCAGAAAACTGAAATATTCAATTCTGAAAACACAAACAGGCACTCCTCCTTGAGCATCCTGGCATGAGGCTGGAATGCTGGCCCCTTCCCAGAGTGGATTTTCCCTTCCAAGCTCTCCCTAGAATACACGTTTTTTGGAGCTCCTTGGCCTCCAACACCTGCAGTTACACTGATGCCACGGCTAAGGGCTGTGTTCCACAGGAAGTCAGCCCATCCAGATCTGGGCAAACCAGCCCTTATTACTTATTTATGAGAGTTAATTTCATGTGCTGGCATTTCACACGCCATATGGAGGAGCGGCTGCCCGAGCCAAGCTGCAGGCAGCTCTCAGCTGCCTTTTTTTTGTTGTTGTTTTAAATACTGCTGCTTGTGACTGAAGCAAGGTTAATCACTGCTTTTACTCAGAAAAATTACTTCGTGAGAAACCCCAAATCCTCACCTCCCAGGCACGATTATGCCACAGAGAGCTGGTGTGCCCCACCAGGGCTCCAGCTGCCTGGTGCCCCAGGATTCGCAAACAGATTGGCTTGGGAGGAACAGTTACAGACAGTCAGATGTTGGGAATGTGCAGCCACGTCTGCTAATTTCCACAAGCACCAGTTCCTCCTGGTATTTGCTCACCTGATGGTGACAGGCAGGGGAACAGTCCAGAGTGAACTGCTGCACAGCCAGCAGCTCAGTCCTGCAGCTGTGCTCTGTGCCTCCACTGTCGCTGAGAAACCTCTCCTCACCAGTGTCTCCTGTCAAATCTGGAGTCTTTGTCACTTTTGGGAAGCTTTTTGTAAGGGTATCAAGGCCCAGGTTTGACCAGAAACTCTTATTATGTAAACAAAACTAGACCTGTGCAGACTGGGGATTTGCACTGCTTCAGCTGCCCGATAAGCTGATCCTGACATCCTTCCAGACAAAAATATACACCCAAAAATATACAGCTATTTTCAGTATTACTTCTTCTCAGATGAGGTATGTCTCCAAAGATAGCACTGAGACAGATTCACAGGAAGGTTGTGGCACTTGGGGTATTTGCAGCATGAGAATGACATTTATGATAAGAAAAATGGAAGACATGTGGAGCAGTGATGATGGCAACAACACTTCACTGGGGACAGAGAAATTACATAAGGAAATGAAAGCCGAAGTGGCAGGATGCAGGAAGGACCAGGGCAGCTGGGAAGCAGAGGAGCAGCAGGGCTGGGGTGGGCTCAGGGAGCAGCTTTGTCTGCTCATCCCACGAGAACAGCCCCGGCAGCCTGGCCCTGGGGGGACCTGAAGGAGCCCCGAGAGAGAGAGCCCCAGGGTCTGAGCACGTGGGAACAGAATTCACACCCACCTGGCTCCCCCAGGCATCCTTCCTCACCACAGCACCAATTCCCTCTCCTTCTCCCCATGTAAATCTCTTTTCTTCTGGAGATTTCCATGGCTAGTGGATCCTACACAAACCTGTTTGTTTTCTTCATTTATGAGGCATCTTGGATCTATCTGTGAAATGCAACAAACACTGTAATAGAAAACTGTTCTCATCACATTCTGAAATTAAAATTTACTAGAAGATGCAGAAAGCAGAATAAACTTTCAATTAAAATCTAAACACTGTACCGAGAAAGAAAACTGGAGGGAGCTCCTAGGTTTCTTTGCATTAAAAATGCTTGAGATTTAATTTCACTGTGACATCTCCTTGGAATTACACTGCTAATTGATCAAATTTTGTCTGTCTGTTATTTAAACTTTCAATAAAACTTAGATTAATGGAAGGTGTAATCCTCCCGGGCAGAACAAATATTCCCTTTGTTCGTGTCAGGTATGGAATAGCAATGCCCCCACTAACAGCTCCTGCATTCAGCCTGGGAACAAGAAGTTAATCACAAAATGTGGTGATTCCTTAATTGCTTGAATGAAATTTTCTCTGTGTGCCGTTCTCCCCACCCCCAGTCTCTACAACTGCTGCCACAGATCTCCAAACCACGCAGGCAGCGTTTCCAGGGCTGACTTGCTTTGCTCCTGGTGGAAACAAAACCCCACCGTGCTCCACTCATGGTCTCCCAGAAGGATAGAAGCACCTTCAAAGGAAAAAGCAAGCAACAGCTTTATGGAATCACAGAGTTAAGGAGGTTGGAAAGACACTTAAGACCCCCAAGGCCAACAGCCCCCAGCACTGCCAGGGCCAGCACTGAACCCCAGGCACCACACCTGCATGTCTCAAACCTGTTCAGCAGTGAGGACTCCAGCACTGCTCTGGGCAACCTGCAGGGCTGCACACCCTCTCCATGCAGAAATTTTCCCCAGTATCCAGTCCAAACCTCCCCTGGCACAGCCTGGGGCTGTTTCCTCCCATCCCTTGTGACCTCCTAGAGCGGATGCCAATGCGGTAAAAATCAGCTCCCATCTCTGGCACCACAGAGAGAGAAGCCTGAGGCAGGAGGCAGGAGCATCCTACTCTCCTGGAACGCCCAAGGAGCCCCTGTGCATCCCTACAGCTTCTGCACTGGCTGAGGGGGATCCCAGAATTCACATCTGGCCGTGGGGACACTGCTGTTGAAGAGCCTCTTGGCCACCCACCAGCTGGACCCCAACACTGCTGAGCAGCTGGCTGGCACAGGCATGCACAGGAGCTGCAGCTGCAAACCAGCCCTTTGTCAGCACAGGCACCTCGACCTCCAGCTTTTGAAGATTTGGTGATTTTCCTACACAATGCACTTGCTGACACAACGTATTTTTGGATGCTTCTGGAGGTAAAACCGTTTCTCTATTTCAAGCTGAGTTTGAATAAATTATAGAAAGCCTCTCCAGGATGCAGAATGCTTTCCAAATTGCTTATTTTAGTTTTCCATCTCAGTGAGGACTAAAATCTCTTGCATTTTTAGAGGAAGTGATTGACAGTCAAAGTGCCACCTGTGGGCTGAAATGGTTCTTGCTCCAGAAAACTGGGATTGGTCTTGGACAAAGGACATGCTACACAGACATGACAACACCAACACGGTTCACAGATACTAATATTAACGTACTGCAAAGAATTAGAGCCCATTTTTTACCATTCTTTCCCACTGTCAGAGCAGTGTATCTGTGCCAAACTGTTAATATCCACAAGAGGAGAAAATCATGCACTATTTTTTCCCGATTTCTGCCTTTCCAGCACATTTACTCTCTGCCAGACTAAGACCTTTTGTAGTACATCTAATAAAAGTCGAAGAGGAGCACTAACAAGAGGGAGGAAGAATTCAGGAAGCAACACCTAGTTTGTATTCCTGCAGTGGTCCTGTTTGTTGTGAACTGCTAAATTAACTCCCATTAATTCATTGTGAAAACAAGCTGTAGAAAATAGCAAGGAACTTACAGTTTCTTCTGAATTAATGCTGCATGGTAGCAGTTTATTTTAAGAATAATTAACGGCAACTCAGTGGTGGAAAAACCAGTCTTTTGATGCCTCTGAAGCATGTCAGTGGTACATGGCTATGGTTGTACCTGCTGGGAGTCCTGCTTAAAATATAGTCAAATATTTTCATAGCTGTGATTCATCTTTTCGTCCTCCTAGGCCTGTGCTATTTATTACACATACACTTTGAGAGGAGAAAAAGGAAAGATCTGGTGTACCTGAGACAGCAATGAAAGGGTCCGTTTCAGGCACTCTGCTCACACCAAGCCAGGTGTCCCTGGGGCAGCAGGAGGGATGCTGATCCACAGTCAGATCTCAGCTCCTGGAATGTCCCTCTGGCCTGACGAAGGTGGCAGCCCTTGGAGCCTGGGACAGGATGCCTGGCCAGGGCTGTGCTCAGCTCCCTGCAGAGTTTGACATCACTCAGCTGAAACGTGGCACGCTCTTCTTCGCTGGGTTGAGACAGGGCCTGGGGGGGGCTTGGCAGGAATCTGCATAAATGATTGATCCAGGTGAGTGGCACACACCATCCTCATTAAACCATCAGTGGGGCTGGAAATGAAAAAGATTCATGTCTGCTGCAGGAGGCTTTCAGGGATCAATATGTTCCAGCATATGTTTTAATACTTACTCGGTTCTCACACGTGTCTCGGGGGATTTCTTTATTTATCTTTTTTCCCCAAGGTTATGAAGCCAACTGTTTTGTGCGTGCTCTGAGGCAGGGACCTGATTTTCATAATAAATCTCTTTCCTGGAAGGTGAAAAGCACGAAGCTGTGTTTCTTATCCACACAGAGCATGATCAGATTACGCTGCGCACAGACCCCGGCTCGCCCGCTGCGCGCCGCTGGAGCGCCCAGCACACCTCCAGGGAGGTTATTGTTCCAAAAGGGGCTGAACACAACTCCAGCTTGTTGCTGCTTCTGGAGCATTTTCTTCTCCCTTTATCTCTCCTTTTTCCCGGAGGATGCTGTGCTTTGATGTCTCTGTAACACAGATCACAGTGACACGGAGAGGTGAGTGGGCTGTGCAGAACCATACTGGAAGTGGGAAAAGCTGTCCTGGAGGAGGAGGGAGAGCAGCCCAGGGAATGGGATTTGATGGGAAAGAAAGGGAAAAGGGCACGAGACTGCTGAAGCATGTGGGAGACGCAGAGCAGCCCTGGCTGTGCTGGCCTAGGAGCACAACCCAGTTCACAGCTGCTCTGTGCCTTGGCTTCTGAGGCTCATGTGCTTGGTAACTAACCCAGCTCCTCATCAAACTAATTAACTGAGAGAGCTCAGGGGGCCACTTGAAGGCAGCTCCCGGCAGGATGCTGTGAGCAGCCCCCAGGCCTCCAAAGGCAGTGTGAGCTGCTGGGGTGGGTGCCCAGAGCTGCCCCAGGAGCGACCCCGGCCCCTCGCGCTGCTGAGACGCTCCAGCCTCCCCTCCCTCTGCCCCAGCCCACGGCCACCCAGATCCTCTGCCGAGGTCCCCTCGTCCCTCTGTGTGCTCAGGGAGAGGCGCTGGGCTGCTCCTGCAGCAGGCGGGCGATGAGCAGCCCGCGTGTGACGCCTGCACAGCTGCAGAGCCGCAGCTGGCTGCGCAGTGCATCGCTGCTGGTGGGAAGGGAAGCCAGCACGCCTTCACACCCTGCCCTCGTTAGCTGTGCGAGCGTGTGCTGCTCTTTTCTCCAGCACCGCCTTCCCCTCTCACAGCAAAACCACAGGACAGGAAAGGAACACTGCTGGATCAGACCTGGGCCTTGACACAAGAAATCATTGTACCTCAAAAATCCTATCCCAGGGGCTAAATAACAGGATAGAAACAATGTTTGCATGAAATCCAAAATCCACACAAGAAAGGAAGTCTTTGCAGTTGCAGTACCGCACCCAAGACAGCCCAGACTATCCCAGTATTGTGCTGGAAATGCTATTTATTTGTATTCACACCACCATATAACTGCCTTCAGTCAGCATTACGGGCCTGTCATTTTCAAAGTGTATAATGTATGGTAAATACAGCCCTCTGACAGCACAGAAAGATACAAAAGCCAAAGGGCAGGAGGAAGCACAGGCTACTCTGGTCCCGTTTCACGTGCCAGGAGGAGGGATTTGGAAGAACCTTTGCTGTTCTCACTACAGCACATCCCTGCACTGACACCCGTGGTCCCTGTGCCTGGACACCACGCTCTGGTGGGGAGGACTTGAATTTACATCTCCCAGCTATCCTACACAAAGTGCAGAATTATCAGTTTTAAGCTAGAATTCCCACTGAAATCCTCCTTGGATAACCACAGCTGTGCCCTCTGCCCTCCCAAAGGCAGAGCTGCCACCAGCCCTGGCATTCCCTGCTGAATGCCAGAGTGTGCTGGGAAGCACAGGGAGCTGCTTTGGCTCAAACACGGAGCTGGACACTGCTGCTGGGCTGACTGCTTTGATTTCACTCCACAGCACACTGTGCTTGTGAGAACACAAACACCCAGCAGGCGCTGAAACCTCATTGCCTGGTGTGAGATTCGGGGCTGAGACACTGCTGGATGCGCAGCCAGCTCGGCCGGGCTCACCCCAGCTGGGAGGGGGTGTGCAGCTCCCCCTGCCCCCTCTCACCAGCGCTAACCAGCCATCACCAGCTCCTCATTTTCATCCTCAACAGGCACCATCCCGGGCTGTGCCTTTCTCTCGTTTGGACAGCAAGTGATAACTGAGTCTGACATGATGACACAATTGCGTAGCTCACAGGCCCCGGGAACAGGGACTTCTTGTTGGCCATCCTGCCTGAGAGACCATTTAGAAATAATTAAAAGATGGAACCTTTTATGCGGTTTATGATGCTTTGATCAAGGTTTTTAATTAACCTATCTTGCTTTCAGCAAGTTCATTTCACCCTCACTGGCAGCATCACACAGGGATCGACTATAACCACAGGGCCCTGGCTGTGCAGCTCTTTAACCCCTTGGCCACCAGAGCCTCCTGCCACGGTCCCCAAGGGACTGGGGCTGTCTGAGGGGGCGAGGTGCCTGGGAGCAGCAGGCAGAGCACACTGTGCCAGGTGCTGGCCAGCCCAGCGCAGAGCTGGGCAGTGCATCCATCAGCACTGCTGCCAGGGCCAAGGCCAGGCCATCCATCAGCCAGTCAATTGGGGAGCGGCGGCGGGGCACGGCCAGGACACGTCTCAGTGCTGCTGCCCTGGCAAGGGAAGTGTCAGGCTGAAATTAGTCACCCAAATCCCTGCAGTCAGAGAGACACGGGTCCTCCGCAAGGGTAATTTGCTCCATCAATCTGCGTGCAGACACTGAACCACTCAGACGATGTTAAGTCAGCGGGGAGGGAGGTATAAATGTCACCTGGCATTAATGTGCTGCCTCTGCAGGCCAGGGAAGCTGCTCTGCAGCAGCTCAGGGCACACCTGCAGTGGCAGCGAGCTGGGAAGGTGGAAGACAACCACAAGCCATGATGCTCCTGTCAGAAGGAGCAGGCAGGGAAGGACTCCAAGCTCTCCTGTCTTCCCGAGTCCTGCTCCTCTACCAGAGCTGCCATCAGAATGAGCTCCTGTTCAAACTGCTAAAGGGGTTAAGCTCCCCACGCTGAGCTCTGCAGCCCCCAGGCTGCTCGCAGGAGTGGACCCCTCCCCAAGCAGGACCACCACGCTCCCAGGCAGGAGATGGGCTCACTCACTGCTCATCTCCCCCAGGAAACTGCCCTGAAGGTGCTGACTGGGAGAGGCAGCAGCACCGTGCTGCTTCCCCCCAAGGTCACAAGATGAACCTGATGCTGAACAAGAGCCTAAAACAATTTTTGGCAAGTGAAGAGCCTGACAGTGTGCTGTGCCAAGAGCTTTCCAAGAGGCACTGGAGCAGGCTGTGCTAATAAACCCTGCAGAGAGCCACTGCGTGGGGAAATGCTGAATCACTGCAGCTTCCTCTGAACTGCCACTGAGCCCGGATAAATCCATTCTCAGCAACTTCTTTAAGAAGTGTTTCTTAGGAAAGTGCTTTTAAACAAAGTTGAAATTTCTATTTCATACCATTATCTTAAGGAAAGGCTAATTAAGCCCAAGCTCTTGGAATAGAAAGATTTTCTGAGTCTGTTTCCAAAACTGTCATAAAAATTTGCATTTTCATGATGCTGTTGTTCTCTTAAAAAACCCTCTCTCTTCTACACCCCAGTCCCACTGCCCTGAGATATTCCTGCAGACAAGTGGCTTTGTCTGCTTTTTTCACCCCCCAGCTGGATTCCCAGAAAAATCCCAGATGGGACTGAGACTCCTGCCCCACAGTATTTTCACAAAACCTGAGCCACATCTTAGTAACAGCAATTCTAAAGAAATTAAAATGATGGGAAAGCACCTCAACTCCTTGTTGAGGAAAGGGAAAAAGAGAACAGCAAAAGATCCAGAGAAAGAAAAAATTAAGTTGTTTATTGCAGGAGCTTTCCTTAAAGACTTGAATACCTGTGGAAAATGTGAGAATGAAATAAGAAAAAGATTTATTGAGTCTCAAAGCCTCCAGTTAAAATTAAATGTGGTGAGAAAGGTGGCTTTCCACTTTTAATTGTCTTTACCACAGTAACTGTGTGTCAGTCTCTTCTAAAAGCCTATTAATTCTGTAATTTAGCGCTAGCAAGAGCTGGGACACAGTCGGAACCATCACCGTTCTTTTTTTCTTAATTCATTGACTAAATGTCATCAGGCATCAATACTAGGGGGGCTTTCTCCTTCAAGGCTTTAAATACCAATATTAAACTTTTTATAGTTTACTGAATAAAAAAGTGCTGGCACATCAGTTAGCAGAAGGGGTGCTATGACATTGTATGTTGGTGTGTTAATTGTGGCTAAAAATAACCTGACAGGTCCAAAGAGCTGTTGAGTGAACAATTTCCAGGCAAGAGAGGGAATTAGCTTGTTTAAGTGCTGCAGCTAGATCCAATGTATGTGTTTAGCCATACTTTTAGAGTTTATTCTGAAACTAGCTGGAGCTGGTAATAGAGCTATTAAGGCAGAGACAGCCTGGTAGGTGGATTTCTTGACATCTGAGATTGTATAACAAGGTAACTGCCAAAAAACCTCCATTACCTCAGCCAGCAGCAAAGCAGTGTCCGTATCTGAGCTTCTAAAAATCAGGAGGAAAGATACTCAAAGAAATAAGTAAATCAAGCCATGGGTCCAAGGGGACCCAGGGGAGCTGCAGGGGCACCGACCTCCCCCAGGGCACTGGGGAGCTGCTGGCACCCACAGCTACTTCTGGATGGTCAGATTTTACAAATAAATCACTTCTGTGTCTGAAGCAGCAACAGAACTGAAGAGTCACCTTGAACAGGGCTGGCACTGGAAATGAGAGCTGCTGTGTGTTTATGGAGGAACCTGAGGGTGGACCCCAATCTCACTCACCCACCCCAGCTCCTTGTGTATTATTCCATGTAAACCCAATCTCACTCACCCACCCCAGCTCTTTGTGTATTATTCCATGTAAACCCAATCTCACTCACCCACCCCAGCTCTTTGTGTATTATTTCATGTAAACCCAATCTCACTCATCCACCCCAGCTCCTTGTGTATTATTTCATGTAAACCCAATCTCACTCATCCACCCCAGCTCTCTGTGTATTATTCCATGTAAATCCAATCTCACTCACCCACCCCAGCTCTCTGTGTATTATTTCATGTAAACCAGGGTGCAATTTCCCTGCATCCCTCATGCAATCCATAGGTGGAAGCCTACAGGGATGTTTTTCATTATTTGCTGGCTGTTTCCATTTCCCAGGCCTGCTGGAAACCACAGGAGGTTTCATAACTGGCAAAATCTGAAATTTAGTTATTTGCTTATCTGAATGTATTTCATACAGTACCTCAGCCTGATTCCCAACCAAACCCCCTTTTTTGTAACGATTTTCAGTGTAACTGAAGCGGAATTTCGTGCTCACCTGCGGTCAGGGTGCTGCAGTCCCACGGGCAGGACAGTACCTCCTTCTGCTGAGCTCCTGAGCTGGGCACAGGACACAGGGCATGCCAGGGCTGGGCACAGACACTGCTGCCACCAGGGCACTGCTGGCACACACACCCTGGCTGCCACCGTGTGTCACTGTGTCCTCCAGTGCCAGGCAAGCCAGCAGAACGTGTTAGCCTGTCTGGCAATTTATTCCCCACTGATTCTAACAGAAAAGAAAAAGAAAAAAGAAGCAGAAAGTCCTTGGATTGAAGGCTTCAGAGTTCAGGACTGATTTTTGTGCACACACTTTGTTCCTCACTTTAGAACCATCGGGTTTTCTTTCTCCCAGAGAACATAAACAACTGAATTTTAAACCAGACTCAGCAACTAACGTGACATTGTGAAGGACACACCAGCACTTATCATCTCTCCAGATGAGTTGGTAAGTATTTATAGAAACATTTCCTCCCTGGCACAGCTTTAACTAAGCAATGTATCTAATTTCCTCTGGAGAAATGTGTTGGAGAAATCAGTTAGATAAGTCTCATCATAAACAGTAATAAATAACTACTCTGGTGTAGTTGCTTATTTAGTGAAGTCATTTGAATATTAATGGCTTTACAGGCACACTCACAGGGTAAAAATCCACAGCAGTGATACCCCAAAATTAAATCCAGGATTCTGTGGTCTGAATTACAAGGCAGGATGTGGGCGAGGTTACTGGAGACAGCAATATATGGAATAACCCAAAGCTGCCCTCACACACCAGAGAGGAGAGCCCCGCAGCACAGAGCACCCAGACACACTGCCAGGCTGAGGGCAGGGGCACGGGGACACGGGGACATGGGGACACGGGGACATGGGGACATGGCGACACGGAGACATGGGGCATGGGGACACAGGGCATGGGGACATGGGGACATGGGAACATGGCGACACGGGGCACAGGGACACGGGGACATGGGGACACGGGGCATAGGGACATGGGGACACAGGGCATGGGGACATGGGGACACGGGGCATGGGGACACGGGGCACAGGGACATGGGGCATGGGGACACAGGGCATGGGGACATGGGCACATGGGAACATGGCGACACGGGGCACAGGGACACGGGGACATGGGGACACGGGGCATAGGGACATGGGGACACAGGGCATGGGGACATGGGGACACGGGGCATGGGGACACGGGGCACGGGGACATGGGGCATGGGGACACAGGGCATGGGGACATGGGGCATGGGGCACAGGGACATGGGGACACGGGGACACGGGGACATGGGGGCACAGGGACATGGGGACATGGGGGCACAGGGACATAGGGCATGGGGACATGGGGACACAGGGCATGGGGCACAGGGACATAGGGACACAGGAACACGGGGACATAGGGGCACAGGGCATGGGGATATGGGGACATGGGGACATGGGGACATGGAGACATAGGGACACAGGAACACGGGGACATAGGGGCACAGGGCATGGGGATATGGGGACATGGGGACACGGGGACACGGGGCACAGGGACACATGGGCACAGGGACATGGGGACACAGGGCATGGGGACATGGGGCATGGGGACATGGGGCATGGGGACATGAGAGCACAAGTCACAGGGCACAGGAACACGGGGACATGGGGGCACAGGGACCTGGGGACACGGGGACACAGGGCACAGGGACACATGGGCACAGGGACATGGGGCCACAGGGACACAGGGGAGGGCACAGGGTCAGGTCCCTCTGACAGCCCCTGCGGGTGCTGGCCCTGGTGGTGCTCCCTGCTCTCCTGGTGTCACGGGCCCCGTCCCTGCGGTGAGACGGAGCTCCACGGAACTCCCTGTCCTCTGCATACAGCAGTGATGCCTTTGGTTGCTTTGATGTTAGCAGCAGGAGACATCACAGCAGTGCTGAGATGCTTATTATCCCCTTGGGTTCTTTCCTTTTATTCGTCATGGGTTTCAGCCTGTTGTATAATATACATTTTTCAAGTTAAGCATCAAAACAATGAATACAAATGAGCGAGGAAGTGTTCACTTGCTGAAGGAGGAGAATTACTAAGAGCAACACTGTGCAGTATTATAATGCATTTCCACTACTACACCATTTGTATTAATGTATTAGAGACATCTACAAAGACAAATTGCAGCTTAGTTCAAAGGGAAGAACACTCAAATGCCTGTAAAATGCTGTAGGCTGCTCTCAGAGATGCTCTCCCTGAAACAACATTTGGATTTCAGATCTCTCCTGGCATCAAGGACAATATGCTCCCTCTTCCCAGCCACACTGGTTTGTGACAGCACGTGGGTGCCCAGGGGCCCTGGGGAGGGGGATGGCCACTGTCCCCAGCCCAGGACAGTGCCTGGCTCTCCAGCCCTCCCTGACCTGGGTGCTGGGACAGCCACGGGCAGCACTGGCTCATCTCAGTGAAGACTTTGCTGCTGAATATAAAGTAGCACCAAAAGCTGCAGGAAGATGTCCCTGGAACCTTCTCTCCCCTTCAGCACTTGGAGATCCTGAATTTCCCAGCGAGAATGGACAAACAGCCCCTCAGACCGTGGGACACACGACTGTCCCCCGCTCCACAGCCCTGCAGTGGCTCAGGAGCCAGCACACCCCTCTGGAAGTGCCACTTCTCACCAGCACCAGGGACCCTGCAGATAAAGAGCTGGGAACACAGAGGTCACTCAGTGCACTGAGATCTCTGGGCAAGATGAATCAGATGAGCCATTTTCGGGACATTGAGAATGTTTACAAATCCAGTCAATTTTTATTTAGTTTTGAATGAACTTGTGTACGTATTTTCTTTTGCCCTCTGCAAGCACAGTCATCCTTTCTGATCTCCTTCCATCTCTCCCTGGCATATGGTATTTTCATCTTGCTAACAGGATTACATTTACCCTGCCAGGCTACAGCAGGCACCCAGTTTCGCTCAGACTTCCACTGCTTCTCTACCAATGTGCTGCTATTAGCAAATGTCAGCCCTGGAGCAGGGAGGTGTGAGAGAAGGAAAGGGTAAAACAAGGAAGGGATGGGGGGGAACTGAAAGAAAAGGAAGAAGAGTGTTAACAGCAGCTGCGGGGAGCACAGAGTCTCTGGGAGCCCCCAGCAGCACCGTGGTGTGAGGGGTAGGGAGAGGAGACCCCCTGGCCCAGCCCTGCCCAGCCCTGCTCAGCCCTGTTCAGCCCTGCCCAGCCCTGCCCAGCCCTGCTCAGCCCTGCTCAGCCTGCCCGGCCCTCCCTGGTCAGCTGGGCTGAGCATCACCCACAGGGAGGGCCAGGGGACCTGGGGGGCTGCACATCCTGACACCAGCCAAATAAACTGTTTGTTCTTCCTGGCTGTCTCGTGCTCATTCAAACAGCAGAAAAGCAGCTTTGTTGTTCCTTAGGGCATCATCTCCCTCATGTTTGTGCCCGTTAAAAGGGACAGGACAAATTCAGCCAATCTGCAGGTGCACGTACCCAGGCTGTGTTTGCTGTGTGCCAGGTCTCCTCCTCAGGGATCACCCCTCGCTGCAGGTACCACTGTGGCCACCTGCAGACACATCTCCTCTGCGTGCCCATCCCTTCCCTGTACATCTTGGAAGAAGAATTAATTAGTTCAGATGATAAAGCACCGTGGGGAAGGAGAATCAAGGTTAATAACGTATATTAATAAAATATCAGCAAGGAAAAATGACTAGCTGTGTCCCAGCTAAGCCATCTCCATGACCATAATCTGTCCCTGTCTTTGAAGGTGGTTATATCTCAATAGATCAGGAGGGAAAAATAATGGAGATGAAATAACACTGCAAGGTTTCTGCTCCACATGAATGCTCTGCTTGCTGCTCCAGTGGCAACAACCTGGTGTGCAAAGGAGCAAACTGGGGGCTGGCAGCACCCTGGGAGCTGTTCCCAATATTTGCTCTGAGGGAGATTCCAGCCTGTCCCACAAACGAGGGACAAGGACAAGGACCATGCCAAGGTCCAGCCCTGGGCACAGGGATGTGCACACCAGCCTTCAGTTCTAGGTTTGGGTTTGCAGAGTGGGAAATAGAGAGAGCTGCAGAGAGCTGTGGTTGTCATGCTGCCTCAAAACACTGCCCAAATTCTCCTTTTAGCTTGTTTAAATACATCACTTTATCATTCCCAGTAAGTTTCCCATTAAGTGTTCCCATCAGCAGAGAAGCCATGGAATCACACCATTTATCTGAGGTTCCATCACTAACCCAACTAATTACCTGCTCCCGAGCCGTGAAGCAGCCAGAGAAGCAATGCAGGCACCTTCTGTGACAGGCAGGTGAGAAAAAACATTTTATCTTCACTGCTGCCTCTCATTCCTGCCCGGGAGAGGAGCTGAAGGGCAGGAACACCACAACAACAACAACAACAACAACAACAACAGGAAATGCAAAGGCTGTGGAGAGGCGTCTGCAAACTACATTTCCCCATTAAATTGCACCATCAGAAGGGAAACTGAAATTCATCTCACCAAAATAAGAGGAAAGCCTCATTCCAGAACTTTCTTTCTAGAGCCAGACCCCAGAGCCCAAGCTCCAGCAGCTGGAAGGGCAGAGTTTGGATGCACTGTCAGTCTAAGGGGATTGATTTGGACATTATAGGAACAGCAGCTCCTCCCCTGTGCAAGCAAAGCAGGAACCTGCTCTGTTCTGTAGCTGCTATTGATTTATAACACTTCAGAAACCTCTCACTATATAGTCTTTTAATGCTGAGCTGTGAAATGAAAAGACATTTTCACACCATTAAAGGGAGGTTAATGTAAGATGAAAAAGAGAGTATTTGCATTTAATGAGTGAATTTGAAGAGCTCGGCTGGATTTCTTGCATGCTGCCCCTGGAAAGCCAATTCCTGCATGGAGAAAAGTTTCTTCTTAAAAACAAGTGTGTTCCTCCCCTCTCCAATCCCAAAGGAAAGGACATTTTTAAAGTACCATACTGAAATACCTATGGTCTGGTTTCAGAACAAGAAATGATAGCTCCAGAGGGCTGGAGGGTGGGAAAGCACGAGGCACCTGGCAGGGAGAAGGCACACATGTGAGGCTTCTCCCAGGTTTCCATCTCTCAATCCCAGGTGCTGCAGCACAGCACCAGTACATGGAATTTATGCATAACTGCATAACAGCACATGTTTCCTTCCACGGGAATGCTCCTGGAGCCAGGCTGTGCCAGGGATGGAGGAGCCACAGGCTGACCCCAGGACCTCCTGTGCCCCAGCCCAGCCCTGGCAGCTGCACCACCACCCCACTCACCCCAGCCCTCAGCAGCCCCTGGCCAGCAGGCAGC